TGGGGAATTGCTCGGTAATTTGAATGTGGTGGAGGAACTCACTTAACACGGCCTGCCAAAGAAAATGGCACAGGGCTCCCCCGGGACCCCACTCCACGCAGCTCTGCAAGGGACTGGAAAGGCCTTCGAAGAGCCAGCGTCATGTCACGAAGCCTCACCTCCTCACTGTGTGATCCAGTATGCACCTCCTGGCTTTTGGCCAAACAGTTTGATACACGTGGCTTGTACAGGCCACTGTTTGCTTTAATACCTTAACCCTTATCTGTACCACAGTTGTAACAGAGCCCGTCCATCCACAGACCTCGGTCCTGCCAGGTAGCAATGACCTTCCCTAACTGCGATCCTGTGCTCAGGAACATTTTTATTCTACAACACAACATAAATTTTACATTTGCAAGTGTTACATTTTGAAGTGAGGAAAGGGCAGGCAAGTAAAGACACAGATATAATGTAGAAGGTGTCTGATGAACTGAAGAAACACAGCTGAACTATAAAGCTCCATCCAAGGTTAACATTCTTTTGAAGAGCATATATATCTTTAAATACTGGCCTACCCTAATGCAAATGCAACTAAAGTGATAATAAAAACTCTCAAATAATCATTTCCTGGCAAAAACGATATGCTTAAGGCTCCTCAAAACTATCTGCATGTGTGAAATCGATGGCCTTTGCAAACCCACTGCAGCGTACGTTGGCCAAAGTAATGAAAAACTAGGACGGAAATTAAAACACAGATAATTAAAAATAAACACACAAAACCCTTTCCACAAATTTCATGCTTTTTGAAATCATTATCCTACGCTGGTTTTAAACCGCACGCACTTGCAGAAATAATTTGTAAAATACATCAAAGTTCGACGGATGCTGAAAATAAAATTTAAAGTGAGCTTAGACACTGAACTACAAAGTGACTGTTATCAGGGTTGCAATGCATGAGACTTCTGCTACTAAATTTTTCTAAGAAGCTACATCTGTTGGTGCTGCTTATAACCTGTAGAGATTAAGAAAGCTCTAGCTACTTAAAATAGATTAAAAAAATGTTTACTGCACCTGTACAATACTATTCTGATACATTTTCATCAGTAACCAGCTGTTCACACAATGACAACACAGTTGAAACAGAACTCTTCCCCTACAACTCCTTTTTGATCACATTCCTATCCTGCAGGTCCATACCCTGGAACTTGAGGTATAATCCAAGTACAGGAGTTAAGTTTCCAGGATTTCAGGCCACACAATGAGATGGCACCTAATTATTCCCATTTTCTTATACAATACCAGCAAGAGCTCTCTTTTGACCATGCATCTGAAAGCTTCTTTCTTCTCCATCATGTCCTGGCTTCAGTAATGCAACTTTATTCTCTTTTTTTTGACTTTCCTAAGTGCAACCTCTCTGCCCTTTAAATGTATTTGTAAGGTGACACTACAAAAACATTTTCCTCATTCACTGTTTTGATGATACTTCTGTGTGTTCTTCCTTCTTCCTGATGAGCCATATCATGACCAGCCTCTTTGCTCTCAATTTCAGGGCTCTGCACAGCCTGTTCTTGCTCCACCTCTCCAACTGGAACCGCTGTTCTGCACAGATACCCCCTTGTCACAACACAAGGGAGAAAATACGGGTGTTGGTCTGGCACTTGGGGCAGGAAACAAGCTATCTGTGAAAATCCTCGGGGTGACAATGTTACCCTCCTCTAAATACATCCTCCAAGTCGGATGCCTATGAATCATTCCCCGATGCTGAGATAACCAGGGTACTTGAACTTCTGCATGTTCTTTTGCTCACAGCATTCTCACAGCTCCCTTGTGCTTTCCCAATACATTTCTTACATTTACATGCTGTCTTATCTTTACATTTAAATTAAGAAATTGTTTGTGCAGAAGCTATCTTTGCTTATGCATTTGTACTGCCTGTAGTAAAATGGTGCCCTGGCCTCTAGGCACAATTATAATATAAATAATAAAAATGAACTGTTCACCTAAGATCAACTCTCCTGACAATGCTATCATGAAAGTACATCCTTCAAACAGTGATAAAATGCTGTTCCAGCATCACATTCTACCATCTGTACCTCTCCAGGTACTGATGGCACTGATTCCCAGTTCATCACCTACAGGAAGCCTCCACAGTTCCCTGTATCACTGGAGTTTTTACTGATAACCAGATAAAACACAGAATGAGAGAGACATGGGCAGCACTGTCCTACTGAAGAACCCTGTGCTCCCTTAACATAAGTCTCCTTCTGGGAAGAGTTGAGAATCCTTGGCATCTCACGGGAGCAGATTCGAGGCAGTTTTCCATCTGTCTGCTTAAACTCATTAAATTTACTTAAAAACATGGCCTTCAGGAGGGTAGAACACCAACCTACAGCACTCTCCAATATGGCATCGTTCTTTAATGGAAGCATCCGTGGCTGAGGAATTATTCTATTTTGACTTTGCCAGTTTAATGCAGGGCTCTTCATTTTATCATTACTTAGACTGCACTTAGACTGAACATTCAGTGGAACATTTCCTATAATGGGATAAAGCGGTTGAACAATTTGACTGGCTAATAGTGATTTAGACATGTGATTACAGTACAGAAAATGGTCTGACATATGCTCTTTTATCTGGTTTACACGAGGCACATTAATCCAACTGGAAAGCACAGAAGTGAAAAGGAAGACAAGTCATAAGAAGAAGAGAGAAAATATTTTTACTTATTTGTACATTTGATAGGCTAGTTGTAATCAGTATTTTGTAAATAGCAAAACTTACAAAATAAAACCATTTTCTCCCCAAAATGGATGCAACTAAAAAAGACCTGTCTATATGTACACCATGAAAGTTAGAAAATAACTATTTTTTATAAAATCCTGATTTCAAAAGCATTTATGACCTTTGCCTTTCCCAACAGTACAGGATTTCCACAAAGATGCAGCAGGACGCTGAGCACCACACCAGCCAGGAACAATCAGAGGGTGAAGAAAAAGAGTATTGATTCATTTTAATTTTTGTCTCACCTAATTTAATTTCCAGCTCTTACACAAACACTCATGTCAGCCTAACTCCACATTTTTAGAGGAAAATTGTATTTCCTCCTGAAAGTAGTCAACAACATTCCTGTGACAACAAAAACCTAACTGAAGACAAGGAATTACCTCTTTAGCACCCACTTTTCCTCAAGAGTGTGTACACAATCTCAAACTGGTCAAAGAAAATATGACAATTTTCACAAGTTATACTATTTAGGTTTTTGGTGCAGACTGGTACATTTCAGTTGCCTTTGCATTTTTCTTCCAAAAAACTCCTTTAAAATAAAACATTGAAAGGTTTCCTATGTAAGGTTTGGATTATGTATGTAGAAATAAAAACAAAGTATATAAAACTAAGCTTAAAGGAGCTGAATACAAGAACTTTACTGCTCGTAAGTGTTTGCCAACTACTTTCAATGATCACTATATGAAAATTTTTATCAACTGAATAGGTAAGATAATGAAAAGAGGGAGCTGCAACCAATGCACCTTCCTCCAAACCAGGAGGGACATGAGAATCTTTATTCATCAATGACAACAGCTAAAAAAAAAAGAAATCCATGTATCCCAAACTAATACTAATTCTGTCCATGATATATACATGCAAAAACAAATGGAGGAAAGCACAGCCTTTGCACGTGTTTAGGTCCAGCCCAGCAGAATCCCCTTGTCATGTTTTGGGCTTCCACTGTGACCTTATCGTCAGACTTGACCTTAAAGGTCTTTTCCAACCGGAACGATTCCAGCACGGAAACTGGCAGCGAGGTCTGGGGTGGGCGTTCAGGGAAGCGCCAGGAATTCACCAGGACAAACACACTCGAGGGTGTCAAACCGAGCGCGTCCCCCAAAACAAAGGGAACGACCTCTGAACCCCGAGGCTCGCACAGACCCCGCAGCGCAGAGGCTGTTTCGGCCACATCACGACGCTCCCTTCTCCAAACGTGCTGCCCAGCTTTGCCCTATTACCGCTGCCATCAGCTATGCCATGGCAAGCTCCATCCTACTCAAAAATAACCCGCGGGGTAGCGCAGCCAGCGCGGCAGCGGCGCTTCCCGGGAAGCCTTCCGCGGAGCCCGGCCTGGCCCCGCACCTCGGGCAACCACAGCGTGGCCACCCCTGGTCCACCCACGGCGCTTGGCACCGCGGGATCCCCGCCCGGGGCTGCGGGAGCGGGGCGGCCCCTCGGGAGCGGCCCGACGGGGCGGGGGGAGCGCCGGGGCTGAGGGAGCGCCCGCGCCCCCGGCGGGGAGAGGCCGCGGTGAAGGGAGATGTGCCAGCGCCGGGGAAACCAGGCTCCCCCCGCCATCCTCCTCCTTCTCCACCCCCCTCCCTCCGTGTGTTTGTTGTGCCTCGGCACCGTCCCGACGGCGCGTCCCCTCGGAGCGGCGGCCGCTGACAGCTCCCCCCGCGCCGCCCAGAAACTCCTGCCTCAACTTTGCCTGTGTGTGCGGGGAAAGGAGGAGGGCGGGGGGTGTCCTCCTCGCCACCCGCTCAGAACAGTGTCTTTCCTTCCCCCAAAAAAAGAGAGAGGGGGCATAACAAGGGGGAAAAAGCGCCGAGGAAACACCGTCAAAGCAGAGGGAGCATCCAGGGCGACGCTGAAAGCAGCCTCCGAGCGTCCTGGAAGGGAACGGACCCAAAAAGGAGAAGGGGGAAGGTGTAATAGCAAGGGGGAAAAGGAGGAAGAGGGTGAAGGGGGGAGAGCTAAAGAGAAACTCCGAAGAAGGAGGAGAAGAAAGGAATAGAGACGGTGAAAGAAAAGTGGGAAAGGGAGAGCAGGCGGAGGAAGACAAAGGTGAAAAAGGAGGAGGAGGAGGGGAAAGTGCAAAGGGGAGAGGAGGAGAAGAAAGAAGGGCCCTTCTCAAAATGGCATTAGGCAGAGGGAGGGGGCGACGAGCAGCGAGTCTCCACTGACAGCTCTGCCTGCGCCTGGCCGCCTGCCCCGGCCCCTCTCTGCCTCGCACACACAAACGCTGAACTTACTTCTTTCTGGCTCTCTGGAAAGGGGAAGCGCCATCTTTGCGAGGCCGGCCCCTAGGTCTTTTGTCTGTGGCTGCTGCTGCTGCTGCTGGGGGGGGAGCTCCAGGCTCGGGGGGCTGCTGCTGCTGCTGAGGCGGCTCCACCACCGCCACCACCAGACTCTTGTCCTCCGTTGACATCCTAGTCAGCAGGACGAGAGAGACACATGGATGATGATGATGAGGATGAAGATGAGGATGGTGATGGGGATCCCGATGCTCCTCCTGCTCCCGCGGCTCCTCTCCTCCTCACCTCCGCCTCCTCCACCTCCGCCTCGCATCGCTGGCCTCAGCCGCCGCCGACCAGCACAGGTAGCAGGGGGAGCAGCATGGGGAGAGCAGGAGGAGGAGGAGGAGGGAGCGGGGAGGGGGTGGGAGGGAGGGCGAGGGGGTGCGAAGAGAAAGCGCAGAGGAAGGAAGGAAGGGTCTCACACACAATAACCCCCTCCCCGGCTCGGCGGGGTCTGTCGGGGGGCTGGGGGAGGTGAGGAGAGCGAGCGAGCGAGCGAGAGAGAGACGCGGCTGGTCCCGCCGCTGGGCGCCCCCGCTCAGAGGCCCCGGGCGCTGGCGGCAGCTCCGGCTGCGGCGCTGCCCGGCTGCGGCGGCCGCCGCTTCATTGTACCCTGGCCCTGCGCCCTCCCCCCGCGCAGAGCCCCCGGGGGCGGAGGAGGAGCGGGCGGCGGCGGCGGAGGCGGCGGGGGCCGAGGCCGAGCGGAGGAAGTTTTGACAGCTCCAGCTGTTGTGCGTGTGTGTCGAGGCGCTGAGTCCGGCCGGGCTCCGCGTCCCCTTCCCAGCCGGGCCGGGAGCAGGAAGTTTAACTTTGGGGGAAAAGAAGGAGGAGGAAGGGTGGAAAAAAAAAAAAAAAAAAAAAAAAAAAAAAAGGGGGAGGAGGAAGGAGGGGGAGGAGGAGGCGGCGCCCTGCCCCCCCTCCCCGCGGGGTGGAGAAGGGATCCCGGAGCTGCCCTGGTGTGTAACCCCCCCCGCCTCCCTTCCCCCCCCAACAGTGCGACACATAGACACAGCGACCGCCCGCCCTCCTCCTCCTCCTCCCCTGCCGCGGCCCCACACTGCGCCTGCCCCGCCCGCCCCCCGCCCGTCCCCCGGCGCAGACACCCATCCGCCGCCACACTGACCTCACGGGCTGGGCCGGGGCCGCGCCGGGCTGCGGGGAAACCGCGGAGCGGCGCCCGGACGGGACGGGACGGGACGCGGCGCCACGGGGCGCTCCGAGCACCCACCCGCACCGCACCCCCGCGGGGGCTGCCCAGCCGCTCCAGCAATCACACACCCTCTCCCCCCGCCCTTGCCTTTTTTTTTTTAAATTATATTTAATTTATTTTTATTTATTTATTTCCCTCGTGGAAAAAGGAAAAGAAAAAGCCCCGTCTGGATGAGAGTCGCCGCTTCGCAGCGGGTTGCCCCCCGCCCCGCGCTCCCCAGGACGGCGGCCCCGGGGGCAGCGCTCGGTGCCCGCCCCGGCGGCGCTCGCTCGCTCGCTCTCCGCACCCCCCCGGAGCCGCGTGGGGACCCCCGGGGAGGCGGCAGGAGCCCGGTGGCTCTCCGGGAGCGCCCCCCTTCCCCCCGCCGCGCGTCTGCGGCTCCGGGGCGGGGGAGCCGCGGGCGTCCCGGGGGATGGGAAGGGAAGGAGGGAGGGAGCAGAGTTCAGCGCTCTGTGCGAGGGAGACAAAGTCTGGGGAGCGTGGCCGCTTTCCAGCAGCTCGGGCTGGAACAGCTGCGGCCGCTCGGGGCGGGGTGAGGGGCGGGGGGGGCTCCCCGGGCAGGGGCCCGCCTGGCTGCCTGCCCGCCCGGCTGCGGGGCGGGGTTAAGCCTCATTACACGGGATTTAACGTGTCCCGGAGGCCAGGAGGGACACGGGCTCTGAGGGTGGGGGGGAGGGAAGCACGGCGGCCTCGCAGCCGGAGAAAAGTCCGGCCACGGGGCGAGGAAGCGGCCGCGCCCCCGGACTTTCCTCCCGGGCGCTGCCCCGACTCGCTCCGGCGCCCGCGGCGGGAGCGGCACCGGCGGGGCCGCTGGAGCGGAGCTGGCCCGGGGCCCCCCCCGCCCGGCACCGCCCTCAGGGCACCCCCGGAGCCGCCCTCCCCGCCGCGGGGCCCCAGCACGGCCGGCCCTCCCTCCCTCCTTCGCTCTCTCCTTCCCTCCCGGGGCAGGAGCGGAGGGAGCGGTGTCGCTGCGCAGATGCTGAATCACGAAACGGGTCGCACGGACAGAAAAGGAACGCGGTGACTCCTGTTCGGGAACTTCGCCGGACTTGCAGACGTGGTGGGGAGCGATAGCCCCCAAGGCTCCGAGTAAACACAGCCCTCACTGAGCGTTTCTCCTGTGGTGGTTGGGTTTCTGTGTTTGAATCCCAGTTGATAAAATGGCCCGGGGTAGCACACAGGTACAACGAGGAAGGGAGGTAAGGAGGAGCTGATGTTAGTCACTTTTTTTTTTTCTTTTTTTTTAAGTAAAAATAAACACAAAGCACTCCAGACCTTTACAATGCTCTTCCTTCCCGAGCTTTTCACTTGTCAGCTTCAGAATACTAAATAAAAAAGGTATGCTGTGGCCTTCTGCTCGCCTGTTTTCCTCGGAACCGCTTCATAACAGAATGCCTCATTTTCTAGGCTTGTGAGTAATTAAATTAGACCTTTGTGACATTTTCATTTAAGGTACAAAATACATTAGAAAATAATCTCCATCTATACACATACATATACAAATAAATAACATTATATAAATTATATATCCCTTTTGCTCAGCCATGCAAGGACAGCAGCTGGATTGTTGGTGTGACTTTCTTGGCCCTGTCACTGAAAACGTACTCCTTTATGCCAAATTAAAATATATATCCCTAGCTAAATGTTTGTGTTATGAAGTCTGCACATGACAGCATGGGTATACTGCTCATACAGCTTCAGATACGGGATCTTAATCTGTTTACATGTTGTCTAACAGAAGAAAGTGGCTTTGAATTTTGTTAAGTTAGAATAATTTAACTGAAAACACTTAATACTATACAGGCCCAGACTTGGGTGGAGTAGAGAGAAAAAAGGCGAGGAAGGGGAGGGAGAGGGAAGGAAAGGCCACAGCCTCTGCACAGTGGGATCTCGCTGGTGTGGCATTTGCTGGAGTTGCCAGGTTGCCATCTGGTCTGCTGAAAAAAATGGCCATCTCCTGGAACACTGGCTCTGTGTGTGTGCGGATCCGCTGCACATGCGCCACGGCTTGGGTGAGTCTAGGATGTGTCAGAGCCACTCTGCATGTGCAAATTGATTGGAGCTGTGACACGTGAGCACACCGTGGGCTCAGATCAACTGCTGGGTGTATGGGGAATAGCTGTCACATCCCACGGCAGAAATACATCCGGTGAAATCACTGGATTCACTTGTCCGTGTGTGGTTCATCTGGTCCTCCCATGGGAACGTTTTTTAACACCTTTAGACCACCTGTAAGGGATTGAGCGTAGGGTTTTGTCTCTTATAACAAATACAGATGTGTGATTTTAATTTTTCTCCCCTTTTTAAAATATATTAGCTATGTGTATGTGTAGCTAACACAATGTAAAATCGGTTGTCTTTGGTGGAGCGTGGTCTGGCACAAGGACTTGTGCCTGTGAGTTTTACTGCTGTTCCTTATCTCATTACGTGTCCAAACACAGCTGGGCAGGTCTGTGCTGTGAACTGCTGCAGCCACTGCTGTGACAATCAAAGGTGTGAAGAACCATGTGGGACTGGGAGAGACTCGTGAGCAGGAACCTGAAGCGGAGATGGAATTGTAGGAGACTGTATTTGCAAGTGTTATCTATCACTCAGAGAAGGCAGAGGGACAAGCTAGGAGACGTGTCACCAAACATAAATCCAGTGTGGGAGTGCTTTGTTGATTCAGGGTATTTGAACAGTTCTCTCAGGAAAATTTTTATGTTTATACCTTGGCCACACTAACCACCTATTATAAATTATCACTGTCTGGAAAACACACGTTTTTACAGCAAACATGTAATAATGAACAAGCAGGTTCTCTGCTTTACTGTATGTTAAGAGATCCTCCAGTCCATTGTAAACTAACTCAGGTGAGCTGACACACCTGCTTTTTTCTTTTTTTAACTTTCTAGGGCAGGCAGCTCTGAAACTTTCAACTGGAATTTTACATTCTAGCCTTCCTTAAAATAAACATTTCTGTGGCTTTGGAGTTGTTTCTGAAATGTGAGACCCTTGCAGTACTGATTAAACAAGGCGTGCTAATGGTTTTAACTTCAAACCATCTTAAATTGTCCCAGTGTGCTTAATGTTCATAATAGAATAAGCTGAAGATGGGATATTGTCTTAAATCAGCTATTAAGGAAAATGATCCTGTTGTAGAAATAATTAAAGGAAAATGACAACTAGTATGTAAGTACCATTTTGCCTTTATGCAACTAAAGTGGTGTATGTAGCAGGAATAATGAAGAAGTATTTTGGATTCTATCAGGAGTGGCATCCAGATACTTTCTTTTTTATTACATTAGTTCAGAATTCTGACGGTTTTAGGATTGTTCATCACTCTACATAAAGCAAATAAACAGTTTAATTTTTGTTCTCTTCGTACGTGTGTTCCCATTGCAGGAAAGACCAAGTTATCACAAAGGCTTTTATTTAAGCTACATCAGCAACATGCTAACATTTTAGATGTTCGGTATACTGAACCACTTTGTCTTAACCTGTGCTAAATTGATAATTGGCTGTGTTGAACATCTGCTTACCTCCATGTGCTGCTCTGAAAACTGGGGAGAGCTTGGTGCCAGTCCCATATCCCATATGGCCATCCTCGTAGCAAACTTCAGGATAAAGGTGCAGTGGGCAGTCGAGTGCAGTAACCACAGCAGTTGCCCATGATACTTCTTTTACATCTGCATTCCTTTTCACCCAAGCAGTTCAGAAATAGCCAAATTACCATTTTTTAGAATTAAATAAATAAGCCCATGAATATCTAAAAGAGTTGTAGACAAAGCCTAAGTCAAGTGACAAAATCAGGATTACATCATACGAATACGTGACTCCTAGTTAATTTGCACTAAACTTGGCTGGACTACAAAAAATGTTAGCATATGTTAATTGTCATATGATAACGAATGCATTGTAGAAGCCTAGTTTTAAACTTGA